AGGAAAGAGGAGGGAGAAGTTTTTCAAAAATACCTAATATGCCCTCTAATTATAATTTTAACTTAAACTACCATAATTATTAATTTTCTAATTTATCCGTTGATTTGTGGTTGAGATTGGACCTCACGGTTGCCACAAATTAATAAGTTCTCATTTGATTAGGCCCCCATATATATATATAATTTTTGTATGTATAGGTTAGCTTAGAAGATTAATGTGAAATAAGAACTTCTTTCGACGATCTATTATCTATCAAAAGTATCAATCTTTCCTCAAACAAACCGGCGGCATTCCCGATAGAATCTGTTAAATAATTGTTGAGATAAATTTTGGTAATAGAAATTTTTATGAAAATCAAGAGAATTTTTGCACCTGATTTTACAAAAACAAATTATTGATTAAGATTTCAGACTTCAGACGTTTGTCAGTTTACAAAAATAAATAGTTTTTATCGATTCAAATTTTAGACTTCAGCACCACCTTTTATTAATCAGAAATGAAATAAGACTTCAGACTTCAGTACCTCTTAAAAAACAAACGTCATTTAAGAGATTTTAAGACTGAATGCATAAAGTAATAGTACTTAATGCATTATGAGTTGTTTTTAAGACTTTGTACATAAATGTATAGTACCTTGTGCATTAAAAATTGTTTTTAAGACTTTGACAAATCTGGTTTATAAGGTAATATAGATTATGATTATAATTCATCAATTTGAGAGTTTAAGACGAATAAATATTATTTATTAAAATAAAATCATATCAATTATCGAAATACTTGAGCATTAATCGTACGCATGTATTAATATTCAAGGTATTTTGGGTTGAGACAGGAGAACGAAAATGACAGAAAATAAAGATGAAAATCAATTATTATTCCCTTTGATTACAAGAAAAGTGAGTTTCAACAGTGCGCTTTTAGCGACGAAAAATTTCATCCACAAGCTGTAGCAATGACATGTCCGTCTTATAAATCGTTTGTGAAAATAAATGGACACCAAATACTGACCCGGTAAGTACTTACTGGTAAAATTTAACACTACTATGTACTTACCGGGTAATATTTTAGTCCACCAAAATGACATCGCATGTAATAATTTACACGGTGAGTGCTTACCGTGGTAAGAGTCGTCGCTCTCACTTACCGGGTAATACTCTTGGTCCTGTCTCGCTCTTACCGAGTAAGATTCTTGATCCATACCATATTCATCCGGTGAGGTAATTTGACTTGGTAAGTACTTACCCGGATAAGCGTTCGGTAAACGGCCCCTTAGTAAGAACAAAGATCGTTGCTAAAACCCTTGTTTATTGTATTGGGTTTAACCTGGGATGAAAATTTTGCTTATAAGGGAATGAACCCATTATATTATATGGAACCAAACAGTTTTTTTTTTTTTTTTTTGTATTCAATCGCATTAACGACTCCTTAATACCTCTAACCAAACACCCACTTAAAGTTAAACATTAATCTTGTAAAGGTACTTTTGTGAAGATTGTGAAATTATGTATTTTGTTTTTCGTTCTTAAAATAATAAATTAATGGTTATGATTGCGTCTAGATCAAAAAGTCTCATCACGTAGATGATTATAGTATAGCTGGTCTCCTCTTATTTGATCCCAAAACCAAATATACAGATTGGTAGGACAAGACATCAAGGCTCAACCTGTTCGCTTTTAACCAATAGACAAGCGCCACATTGTTTTTCTTTTTTTATAAATAATAAATTAACCACATCTATAACGTCAAACTTAAAAGGAAAACAGGAAATTAACAACTAATGAATAATGCATTAGTTATTTTAAATTAATTAATGATGATGTATATTACTTAAAAATATATAAAAATACAGAGTGCGGTGCGGTTTGATGATTCAAAACTACAAACTGCACGCAAAATGTAGTTTGATAAAAATACAAACGTCACGGTGAAAGTTTTGAACTGCATGTTGTAGGCAGCTTGTGTTGTTTGAGTGACAGTTTAGATGAAAACCCCTAGATTGAATAGTTATCACCAACCCTTTAAATGGTTAAAGTCTAGATTTGAGCCGTAAATGGTTTCTAGGCCTTCAAGCCACCTTTATTCTTTAAGTATTTCTGAAGGATTTCTTGTATTTGTAGTTGGAGTTAGGGCCTGTGTACCAAACGATTATCCGGGTAAGCGTTTATCCAAATCACATTACCTTATCGGATGAATATGGTAAAGATTAAGAATCTTACTTGGTAAGAGCGAGACAAGGACCAAGAGTCTTACCCAGTAAGTGAGGGCGACGACTCTTACCCTGGTAATTGCTTACCGGGTAAATTGTTGTATACGATGTTGTTTTGTTGGACTAAAATCTTACCTGCTAAGTAAAAAATAGTGTTAAATTTTACCGGTAAACGTTTACTGGGTAAGTGTTTGGTAAACGGCCCCTTAGTAAAATATTTTATGATGATTTAAAAAAACACAGTATTTAATTGAATAATTTATAATCTAATCTTACGATTAAATATTTAAAGATACAAAATAAAAAGAAAACGTGTAAAAAACCATTGATATAAAGTCTTTACAATCATTATAAAATGGAAAAAAAAAAAAAGATTCCAATCTTATGAAGAAATCACTTAAAACTTAAATAACTTAAATAAGAATTATTATTCCATTAAATAATACTAGAAGGATACTCGTACAATATAACGAGATGCATCTTGATTTTAATGTTCTATTATATTATTTGTCTCTGTCAATATTATAATACGATTTTAAGTGTTTTTAAGAAAACAATAATGATTTTATTTTTGAATAAAATATAAATTTGAA